TTTCATGTCTTCCACTCTCAATGACCAGGTCTCACAGCTAGCCATAAAGGAGGATGGAGCAGACTGCTGAGCGGTACACACGCTCTTTGGTCGATAGCTAGCCGGATATCACGTCTACTAAGCCAGAGCCAGTGTGTGTTAATTTGCTGCAAGCAAGTTGAAGAACAAGATTCGAATCTTCTTCAACACTAATGTCAAGTCAGTTCTTCTTCATGGCTCTGAGATTCTGCACAAACATCACTTAAAGCATTTTCAACAGTAAGCTGAAGACTTTCATCAGTAACTGCCCCCTCCCCCACCTTATCTTCATACTGGAAATCAGATAGCCAGCTGGTCAGAAAGAATTAGCAACAAGGAGACTGAAAACGAACCAACCAAGGACCCATTGGTCAACAAATATGCCGAAGAAAATGTTGAATGGATTACACATACTCTGTGAGGGACTGTGCAGAGTTGACATCATACGCGCCAGGCAGTAGCTCCTCGAGTGGAACTGAAATGGAAAACAACAAGTTGGGCATCGGTCCATCCATAGGTGACATGGAGGAGATGACAGCTTATAGGCAAACATGAAACTAGCTAAAGAGGACTGCAAAGAAGGGAATGACATGGAAATCCGCTTCTGAAGCCTTATGTCCCACTCGGGACCTAAGGGAACAACGATAATAATAATAATTTAAAACAACTAATTCCCTTTATGAATTTAGATAAAGCAATATGAAGACGTAATTTGTCTGGATCGTGTGTGTAATGTATTCGCGCAATACATTTCTAACAATCTAATCACACACGGACTCATGATAGGAATATATGCATGAAATTAATAAAGACTTAAGAGGTGAAAAACAGACAAGTTAGGTCAAGTTAAAAGGACATGTTCAAGGTCAAAATAACAATGAAGACCACTAAACCAAACAGCAAAGGTAATAGTACATCTGCTATGGTATCACAACAAAATTCACCAAGGAAGGTTTAACGTGATGACGAATTGTTTTTGACCGCATAAAGGTGGTTTAAACTTTCTAGTTGCCAGCTAGCCCTTCCATAAACCTTACGATACGCCCCAAACAGGTTTTATAGATAAGTTTAAATGATATGTTAACATCAGTTTTATGTCCTATCTCTGTAATATGTTTCACAATAGAAGAGCTAGGTCTCCTGTTCTCACCATTAATAGGTTCTGAAGATTCCATTTATTTCTGGAGCCATTTAGGAATATGCTCTGAAGCCAGTCCTTACTTGCAGAGATCGATGAGTCATCCCTTCTATGTATGTGTGGCCGTACGTACATTCAAATTGGTAAATACAGAGGGATGTGTCACCATTTCTCGCATGTTCGAAGGGCTTAGATAGATATATTGGCTTTACATCCTCTATTATTATGATATTAGCTGCATAAAATGTCTTTTTAACCACAGCAGCGTTCAATCTTTCTTTAGTTATCAAGCTGCTTTGATGTCCCATATAGGGTAGCTTGATGTACACGTCTTTCTTAGGGGCGAGTTGCAGAGTGGGTCTTGGTGTTCCACTGACTGTAGGTCTGTCTGTTTTCGACATAGAACTTTGCACAAATGTGCGGAAGTTCAAGTCGCCACACTCCGTGTAACACGCGAAGCAAGAGAAGAAAGTACAAGAAAAGTATAATAGAAACAGTGAGCAGAGGTGTGAGACAAAGGAGTAATAAGGAAAAACAAAACAGTTTCATTGGAGATCATAAGTCACAAGGAGTGGATGCATCTGCGCTAGCCACTGAGAACGATTTTGAGCCATGTCACCAATTGTTTCCAACCATAGATTTTTACCGTCCCGAGGACCCCATCCAGCAAGCCAGTCTACACCTGCCTACGTGGCTTAGACCAACTGTTGTGGATTTCATTGACTGGTGAAGCCAAGTTTTTGTTTGACCGCCGCTAGCTTTTTTCCAGCCTGACCCTATATCCGCTAACATTGCTCATTGTCGAGGGAGGCGATGGCTTGGCATACGTAACACATGACCTAACCATCTCAGTCTATGTAGCTTCACGACTTCGTCGATTGATTTCCCCTGTTTACCTAGAACTCGACGCCTAACCTCAATGTTGCTCACCTTATTATGCCACTTCACACGGGAAATAGAGCGCAGGCACCTATGATCAAAGACAGCTAGTCTTTTCATGTCTTCCACTCTGAGTGGCCAGATCTCACAGCTGGCCATAAAGGAGGACGGAGCGGACTGATGAGCAGTACACCCGCCCTTTGGTCGATAGTCGAACATCTCGTCTACGCCAGAGTCGGCGTAAACTGGCAAATGCGAAACGAGCCCCCCCCCTTTATTCGTGCTGAGATTTCGTCAGAGATCAACACGTTGGCACCGGCTGATGGTACTTCCCAAATAAGTGAAGCGGTCAACGTGCTCTACCACTTCACTTCCTATTTTTAAACTAGGCGTCGATGTAGTCCAGTCCTGTAACATCATCTTGCATTTGGTGGGAGCGAATCGCATGCGAAACATTCGTAGATTGCAGCTCAAGGTGTTTAGAGGACTCTGCATTTCGTCAGCGTCTTCGCCTAGAAGGACTATATCGTCTGCATATTCCAAGTCAATGAGATTATTCCCCGGTAGCGAGTCAATCCCTGAGTCGCTGAAGTCACTTAGGGTTAAGTCCATTAACACATCTATGATGAAGTTGAATAGAAAAGGGGATAATTGGCATCCTTGACGGACACCCCTAGTCGTCACCAGTTCAGAGGACAGCTCACCGTAAGCCCTCACCTGGCTGTATGAGTACGAGTAGAGTGATGGCCTTAATCAGTGCAATATATTTTCTCGGAATTCCCTTTACAGCCAAGCATCTCCAGAGAACTTCTCGATCGACAGAGTCGAATGCTGCCTTTAGGTCAAGAAATATAATGACTGTTGGACGCCGGTAGGAATTCCTATGTTCTGGAATCTGTTGGAGGGTGAAGATATGATCAATACACCCTCTTCCTGGTCTAAAGCCTGCCTGGCTCTCCGTGTGTTCCACTGACTACTTTATATCTCCTGATGAACTCTTTTCTGAATAATTGTTATCAACCAGACAGAGTTTGTGTCAAATTTCTTTCTTCTTCATCAAGTGTCTTCGGTGCATATTCTTTGGATTCTACTGAAAAGGCTCTTTTGTACCGAACAGGGCAGAAACTATGCTAATTAAGATACTGTCCAGGTAGGTTTTCTATAAATAGATCTTTTTGTTGACCCATCAAGCCGTCGACTAAGCAATATGTCTAGGAAAGATAAACAATTATCTTCCTTTTCTACAGATTCTCCCACGATTCAGACAAATTACGTCTTCTTATTGCTTTATCTTTTTTTCCTTCACGTTCCCCGGTGGAACATAGGGTGGCTTCAAGCTAGTGTCTTGAAGTTTCTGTAGCAGTGTTTATTTTACAAGATGCGGTTGCTAGCCTCATGGCCAACCTTTCCTCTTCACCAGCATTATTTCTGGCTAAGCGAGGTAAAGGAGTGCGTCGACCGGGGATCGAACCCCAGACCATGTGCATAGTCGGCGAGCGTCCTAAGTGCTATACCACCGACGCACGATTGCTTTATCTAAATAATAATAATAATAATAATGAACGAAATATTCTCATATTGAGTCATAAGAAAAAGGCACAAACAGCGAAGAAAATTTTCCCTTTTCGACGATTCATTTTATAAGCTGTACAATCGTAATTATAATTAACAGACAAATTATTTTTGACCAATCAGATACTGGTAAACTTTGTCCTTGAAAATTCTACTACATAATGTAAGGTGTAAGACGGGATGACTAATTGTAAGTTAGAAAGGAGACAGAAGTTGGCATGACGTACGTGATAAGTGTGAGATAATGACTAATCAATAAGCTAGTGTAGAATGGACAGGAACTATTGGAAAGGCTGTGCATCGGTGGTACAGTGGTCAGGACTCTCGGCGATCATGCACATGATCCGAGGTTCGAGCCCACGCCGATGCACACCTGATATCTATGGTCGGCCTGCAAAGTTTGGGCTACCGATATCACAGACTGAAAATTCCATAACTGGACCAGAAATACAGTGTGGAATCAAGCTGTAATCAAAGATAAGATAAAGTAGTTTTGTATAAGATCTGTGTGAAAAAGGAATGTTATTAATAAACAGTAATAGAGTGGTAATAAAACGTGGATGATAGGGATAGTAACTAATAAAAGTATTAAGAACAATAATAATAATAATAGTGAACTTAAATATTAAAAGAAAGGTGCAAAATTCTAGTAAGAAATTTACTCTGACCATGGTAGGGCCAGAGAATGTATGTATCGTTTTAGTATGCACAGGTCCGGTTTTAGGTCTCGAATAGCTAATGCTTCAGCTATGTACGGATTTCGTATCCGGAGTCCTTTCGTACGATATTGAAGGACTCTGTGTACCACTGTGAAGCATACATATGGGGGTGCTCGTTGTCCAAAGATGACAAGGTGTTCAAGGATCCAGCTGTTGCTATTCTTCTTTTCTCCTTTGGCTAACCAAGATGGGCAGTGTTCCAGGATACGTTTGTGAACTTGACGTTGCGTACGGCCGATATACTTTGCTCCACAAGAGCAAGTAAATTGATAAATACACACTGAATTATTGATTAGTCATTATCTCACTCTTGTTAAGACATACCAACTTCTGTCTCCTTTCTAACTTACAATTAGTCATCCCGTCTTACACCTTACATTATGTAATACAATTTTCAAGGACAAAGTTTACCAGTATCTGATTGGTCAAAAATAATTTGTCTGTTAATTATAATTACGATTGTACAGCTCATGAAAATGAATCGTCGAAAAGGGAAAATTTTCTTCGCTGTTTGTGCCTTTTTCTTATGACTCAATAATAATAATAATAATAATAATAATAATAATAATAATAATAATAATAATAATAATAATATAGTGAAGCAATAAATACGCACAGTACTACTTGGCATACATCAAAAAGATTCATGAGACAACCGTATATTTTAAACTCACTGTATTCGATGGCATTGGTCCTGAAAAACCTCGTAGTCGTTTCATCAGTTGACCGCCATATTCATCATCAAGGATTGATTGTCTTTGAATAGCACTGTTCTCATAGAAATCAGGAGGCTGTTTTGTTGATGACGAGGGCGGGTTGTTGTTTTGTGCTGTTCGATATGGTTTCACTGTAGTTATACTGGTAAATGTTCGACATGCATTCAACGTGATACCACATTGACTAAGTAAGGCTTGAAATTTACGTGTATCTAAAGGTGGTAAAATTTTCGTCTGTATTATACTCGAACCGGAAGTTTCTACATCTACTAGAACAATATAACTGTTGGGGGGGGGGGGAGGGAGGGGAAAGAAGAAGAAAAATTTCATCTCAACTGAGTTATTTTTACATTTCATCATATCATAACGGTAATTTACATCATAAATACACGCTGACTACCTGACTGACTGTTTTCAACGTAGAACAATTTTGCACCGATGTGCAGCTGTTCAAGTCGCCATACTCCCTCCATGTAGCACACAAAGAAAGAGAAGAAAGTAAAAAGAAATGCGAAATAGAGACAGTAAACAGAGATATGAGGCAAAGAGAATAGTAATATGGAAAAACTATATAGTTTTATTGGGTATTATAAGTAACAAGGAGTGGATGCATCTGTGCCAGGCCAGCTATTGAGAATGATTTTGAGCCCTATCTCCAGCCATTGGTGTTTACTGTCCCAAGGACCCCAACCAGCATGTCTACACCTTCCTACGTCTGTCTGTCTGTCTGGATTCAACATAGAACTTGGCACCGAAGTGCAGCAGTTCGAGTTGCCACGTTCCAAATAGCACACAGAGGTAGACAAGAAGATGAGTGAAGAGAATTAATAGAGTTTGACAAATATAAGAGTGAAACAGAATGGGTAATGGTAGAAAGGAATATGAAAGATTACAGAGATTGAATACATCTGCGCCATTGACAACGATTTTGAGCCATGTCACCTATTGTCTCCAGCCATTGATTCCTAGAGTCCCGAGGGCCCCAACCCGGGAGTCTGCATCTCCCTACCTGACTCAGTTTAACTGTCAAGGATTTCATGGATTGATGCCATGTTTTTGTTTGGCCACCACTGGCTCTTTTCCAACCTGAACCTATATCAGCTAACAATGCCCGTCGGGGGAGGCGGTGGTTAGGCATGCGCACCACGTGACCTAGCCATCTTAGTCTATGTAACTTTATAACCTCGTCGATTGATTTTCCCTCTTTGCCCAACACTCTACGCCTAACGTCAACATTACTTACCTTGTGAAACCACCTAACGTGAGACAGAGATCGCAGACATCTATGATCGAAAGCAGTCAACCTTTTCATGTCTTCAACGCGTATTGGCCATGTTTCAGAGCCATAGAGAAGGACGGAGCGAACTGATGAGCAGTACACACGTCCCTTGGTTGATAACCGGATGTCACGCCTACGCCAGAGATGGTGTAAGTCAGCGAAAGCAGCTCGAGCTTTTCGGATCCGTGCTGAGATTTCATCGCCAATCAGTCCGTTGGTGCTAATACAACTTCCCAAGTAGGTGAAGTGGTCAACATGTTCTATCACTTCACTCCCTATCACTAAGTTAGGGGTTGACGTCGTCCAGTCCTGTAGCAGCATCTTACATTTTGCAGGGGCGAATCGCATGCCAAACATACGAAGATTGCTGCTCAAGGTGTTCAGAAGACTCTGCATTTTGTCAGCATCCTCCCCTAACAGGACTATGTCATCTGCATATTCTAAGTCCATTAGATTATTCCCTGGTAACAAGTCGATTCCTAAGTCACTACGTTCAGTTAAGGATACTTCCATTAGCATATCTATGATGAAGTTAAACAGAAATGGGGAAAGTGGACATCCCTGTCGGACACCACTGGTTGTTACCAATTCAGATGACAATTCCCCATAAGCCCTTACACGACTACGTGAGTTTGAATAGAGTGCCTTGATTAGTGCAATGTACTTTCTTGGCACTCCCTTCACAGTCAGACATTGCCATAGTACCTTTCGGTCCACGGAGTCGAAGGCCGCCTTCAAGTCAAGAAATATGACAATTGTTGGACGCCGAAAAGTGTGTCTATGTTCTAGAATCTGTCGAAGAGTGAAGATATGATCTATGCACCCTCTACCTGGTCTAAAGCCTGCTTGATTTTCCCTTGTCTGTTCCTCCCGAGTTCTGCTTAGTCTATGCATGATTACTGAGCCTAGGATTTTAGAGACTATGTTCGTTAGGCTGATCCCCCTATGATTATCACACGAGGACTTGTTTCCCTTCTTGAATATCGGTATAATAAGTGACTTACCCCAGTCTGATGGTACTGTCTCTGATTCCCAGACTTTGCCTAGTACCTCAGTTAATCTACAAACTAGTATGTCACCCCCATATTTAAACACCTCCGGAATAATTCCGTCGGGTCCTGCCGCTTTGCCTCGTTTCAAATTACTGATAGCTTTTGTAACCTCACCTACAGACGGCGGACCAGTGTCTATATCCCATTCGGGTACGTGGTGGATGGCGGGGAGGTTCAGTGTGGCTGTAGGCAAGTTAAATTGTTCCTCAAAGTGTTCTTTCCAGCGTTCAAGGCGTCTATCCTGAGAGCTAATTAAGGAGCCATTTTTCTCAGAAATAGTCTCACTTATGAATTGCCTTTTCCCACCCGATTCTGTGATGAGTCTAAAGAGTTGCCTAGTGTTGCCTATCGCCAATGCTTTTTCCATCTCTTTCGCCTTTGTCACCCACCACTGTTCACGGTCCTTGCGGAGACTTTTAGTAAGTTTCCTTTTGTGCAGCTTTCGCTCCTCATTGAATTCGGAGCTCGCCGGAATAAGTCTTCTAGCATCTATCAGTTCGGATGAGGCAGTCGAAATCCAGTGGTTTTTACTCACCTTTGGATTTGTCTTATTCACAGCTTTTACAGCTGTATCTATAGCTGACTGAATATTCTTCCAGGCTTCTCCAGGGTGAGCACAGCTGTCGATTCAGATATGCGTTTAGCTAGTTCTTCCTCAAATAGGGATTTAGTTTCCTGATCGAGCTGGGGGCGTAATGGTTTTACCGCCAGCTGTTTCCTACGTCCGTTCAGTCGTAAGCACACACGAGCCCGGACCAGTGCGTGATCGGTATCTACACACGTGTTCCAGAAGGAGCGACAATCTCCTACCGACCCACGCCAACGATAGCTTATTGCTATGTGGTCTATTTGTGTCCAGCGTTGGTTTGATGATGGGGGTCGCCAGGTTAAACAGTGTCTCTCCTTGTGTTTAAAGTTAGTGCTTACAAGAAACAAATGATTATCTGAACAGAACTGTAGGAGACGGTCACCGTTGTCGGTTCGCTGGCACGGAACTCCATAGGTGCCACCGACATCCTTCTCAGATTGACACAATTTCCCTACTTGAGCGTTGAAGTCACCAGCTAGAACGACTATATCTGAGCGTTTAGCCTTTCTCACCAAACTAGACAGCTTTTGGTAGAACTCATCCTTCGTTTCATCCGAACTGCAGTCAGTGGGGGCGTAGGCGGAGATTACGAAAAGGCATCGGCGAGTAGTGCAGTCCTTTCTCCTTCTTACTGATCCGTTCAGACGGACAGCACACATTCGGCTATCTACTGGGATCCAGTCAAGCAATGTCTTTTCTGCCCTAGTACTCAGAGCTATCCCTACGCCAGCTAATCCCCGTGAACTAGCTGTGGCATCTCCTGACACCCTTCCTACGTGGTTGGCTTAAACTAACTGTTGTGGATCTCATTAGTTGATGAAGCCATGTTTTCGTTTGACTGCCAGCGGCTCTTTTCTAACCTGACCCATCACATGTCAGTCAGCTAACATTGCCCGTCGAGGAAGGCGATAGCTAAGGATGCATGCGTAACACATGCAGCTGCTTCACCACCTCGCCGACTGATTTCCCTTCCTTAAACCTAGCACTCGACTGAGGCCTAACCTCAATATTGCTCACCCTATTTATAACCAATTCACACGGGAGGGAGATAAAACGCAGGCACCTATGGTCAAAGACAACTGGCCGGCCTTTTTATGTCTTCCACTCTCAATGGCCAGATCATAGCCATAAAGGAAGACGGAGAGGACTTCTAAGCAGTACACACGCCCTTTGGTCTAAGCCAGAGACGGCGTAAACTAGCATATACGAAAGGAGCCTTCTGTATCCATGCGGACATTTCGTCAACGACCAACGCAGTAGGCTGATTGATGCAAATTTCTAAATAAGTTAAGTGGTCAGCAGGCTCTACCATTTCATTCTCTATCTTTAAGTTAGGAGTCATTGTAGTCCAGTCCAGTCCTGTAGCATCATCTTACATTTGATGGGAGCGATTTGCACATCAAACATTTCTGCTTAGCTCAAAGTGTTCAGAAGACTCTACTGTATTTTGTCAGCATCTTCATCCAGGTGAGAGGACTACATCATCTGCATATTCTAAGTCGACGAGATTATCCCCTGATGGTAACAAGTCAATCAATCACTGAGTTGCTAAAGTCAGTTAGGGCTAAGTCGACTAGTACATCTATGATGTAATTAAATAGAAATGGTGACAGTGGGCATCCCTGATGAAACAGAAGTGGAGTAGTTACTTCCACATGCTACACTACATGTGGCATCTAGAGGTGAACAAAAGCTCTCTCTCTGTATGTGTGTGTGTGTGTGCGTGTGTGTGTGGTTAAGAGAGATTCAAAAGAACAGACCACTTAAAACGGGAGATAGAACGTGGATAACTGTGGTCAAAGACGGCAAGTCTTTTCTCATTTTCCAACTTTCAATAGTCACGTCTCACAGTCATAAAGGAGGACAGAACTAATTGCGCCGCTCATTGCTTTAAGCGCTCAGCTCTTAACCATTAAATCTTGAGTTCGAGTCCCACTTCGCCCGTTTTAGCCTGTATAGTAGTAAATGACATCATCCCCAAACAAGTACGACTGATAGCCAGGAGCATGAAATATCTGTGCGGGGAATTGATTTTAACAGAGGGGGAGGGGGCTTTAAGCTCCGAAACGGTTGGTATACAAACTTACCAAAAGTCTCCACTTATATAACATAAATTTCAACTCAAACACCTAAGAAATTGTTTCAATTATTCCACAAATATCGAAACACTCAAATAAATGGAACGATACACTATAAACTCTAAGAATCAATAACAAGCTGTCCATAAGCCCTATAAGCACACTGATGCATAATGCTTAACCAAAAATTATTTGACAAGATAGTCGAATTATAGATTTTAACACTCTGTAACAAAGAAATATCTGAGCGTTACGCCTAGTTATTGTAGTGAAGTGATACCCTGGTTAACCACTGGATCTTACAGGTCGACTAGTGGAACACTAGTTCGAATCCTGCAGTGACCCATTTTAACCTTCAGTCAACATGCACACCATCAGCAACAATCTGTGAATTCAAGACTTGTGCGTCGGAGGCTCAAGAGTAGAATACAGATGGTCCGGCTCCGACCTCCAGCTGACGCACTTCTAAACCTCGCTTAGGCCAGCGGTAACCCAACATAAGAGGGAAGGTTAGATTTTGACTTTAATATGTACTTTTACGTAACATTGTAATGTACTACTTAAATAGGTCGTGGTAGTAACAGTTCATCGTAAGTGGAGACTCTCTAGATCGTACGTAGAATCGAATTGTTTAGATCTTCAGTAATAAATATTTTTTAATATAAAGTTTGTTGTTTCACAGAGATCTAACTAGCTTGATCAACTGGCTAAGACTCAGTTACCCGAACAGATTTACATATGTGCCATCCTGTCTGCCACACTTTTGGCGTGACTGGTAACGATACTAATTAGCTGAGTATGGGAAGCGTCGGTGACACAGCGGTAGAATGCTTACCAACCTCGCGTGCGGCCTGGCATTCGATCCCCAGTCACCGACACACTCCTTTACTTCACTGAGCCAGTAGTGAGACTGGTAAAGACGGAAGGTTGAGCATGAGACTAACAGCCCCTGCTGCCAAAACTTCGAAGCTCTAGCTTGAAGCCCTATGTTTCACTAGCAACGTAAAGGAATAAAATCAAATGAAAAAAATCAATCATGGGAAGCAATGTTTGAACGTGGGATCCAGTAAGTGAAAGTCGTGAGTTTAAGCCAATAGGCCACACCTTCACCTTCAAGTACGTGGAGGGTAAGCAGATAAAAACGATGTTCAGCGAGCGCTTTGCATAGTGTCATTTTTAGAAATCTCATTCCTCGCTTTTTATCTGATGCAAAGATGTGATGTGTGCCAACTTCGATCGTTCAGCAGTAATGTTGTGTCCTATGTTGGTTGATATGAAGACAAACACTGACCTCAATTGAAGCATTTCTATGTGCATACATTTACATGACTGATTATCAGCTGGTAACAGTTAGAAAACTAGTGGAAAACCTGAAGAGCTGTTTCGTCCTAGTTCGGGGCTCTTCATTAGCACGCACTCACCGGGGTATAAACCCTGGAGCTTCCGATTACGAAGTGAACTTGTAGATCATTCAAATTCTTGAACTCGACCCAGTGGTTTATCAATTCTAAATTCTGACAGTTCGCGATATTTAGTGAAATCACAATTAGATCCCCCAGTGGCTGAATAATAATCTACGAGCTCGACTTGCAATCTCAAGGTCCCGGGTAACTAAGTAAAAGCATAAGCATTTAGAACTGAGGTTACTAAAGCTGTCACCAATCTGAAACTAGGCAAAGCAGCGGGACCTGATGGAATGACTCCAGACGTATTTAAGTACGGTGGAGACAGCTTACTGTCTGCATTAACTGAGGTACTAGGCAGCGTCTGGGGATCAGAAGACGCCCCATCGGGTTGGTGTAAGTCACTGATTATCCCCATATACAAGAAAGGAGACAAGTCTTCCTGTGATAATCACAGAGGGATTAGCTTGACTAATATAGTATCTAAAGTCATAGGCTCAATAATCATGCGTAGACTAAGTGGTGCTCGGGAGGCACAAACACGAGAGCCAGGCAGGCTTTAGACCAGGAAGAGGGTGTATTGATCATATCTTCACCCTCCGACAGATTCTAGAACATAGGAATTCCTACCGGCGTCCAACAGTCATTGTATTTCTTGACCTAAAGGCAGCATTCGACTCTGTCGATCGAGAAGTTCTCTGGAGATGCTTGGCTGTGAAGGGAATTCCGAGAAAATATATTGCACTGATTAAGGCCATCACTCTACTCGTACTCATACAGCCAGGTGAGGGCTTACGGTGAGCTGTCATCTGAACTGGTGACGACTAGGGGTGTCCGTCAAGGATGTCCATTATCCCCTTTTCTATTCAACTTCATCATAGATGTGTTAATGGACTTAACCCTAAGTGACTTCAGCGACTCAGGGATTGACTTGTCACCATCAGGGAATAATCTCGTTGACTTGGAATATGCAGACGATATAGTCCTTCTAGGCGAAGACGCTGACGAAATGCAGAGTCTTCTAAACACCTTGAGCCACAACCTACGAATGTTTGGCATGCGATTCGCTCCCACCAAATCCAAGATGATGTTACAGGACTGAACTATATCGACGCCTAGTTTAAAAATAGGAAGTGAAGTGGTAGAGCACGTTGACCGCTTCACTTATTTGGGAAGTACCATCAGCCAACGCCAACGGGTTGATCTCTGACGAAATCTCAGCACGAATACAGGGGGCTCGTTTCGCATTGGCCAGTTTACGCCGACTCTGGCGTAGACAAGATGTTCGACTACCGACCAAAGGGCGGGTGTACTGCTCATCAGTCCGCTCCGTCCTCCTTTATGGAGCTGTGAGACCTGGCCACTCAGAGTGGAAGACATGAAAAGGGCGACTAGCTGTCTTTGATCATAGGTGCCTGCGCTCTATTTCCCGTGTGAAGTGGCATAATAAGGTGAGCAACATTGAGGTTAGGCGTAGAGTTCTAGGTAAACAGGGGAAATCAATCGACGAAGTCGTGAAGTTACAAAGACTGAGATGGTTAGGTCATGTGTTACGTATGCCAAGCCATCGCCTCCCTCGACGAGCTATGTTAGCGGATACAGGGTCAGGCTGGAAAAAAGCTAGCGGCGGTCAAACAAAAACTTGGCTTCACCAGTCAATGAAATCCACAACAGTTGGTCTAAGCCACGTAGGAAGATGTAGACTTCCTGACTGGTTGGGGTCCTCGAGACGGTAAAAATCTATGGTTGGAAACAATTGGTGACATGGCTCAAAGTGATCGTTCTCAATGCATAGCGCAGATGCATCCACTCCTTGTGACTTATGATTTCCAATGAAACTGTTTTGTTCTTCCTTACTTCTATTCCTTTGTCTCACACCTCTGTTTACTGTCTCCATTATACATTTCTTTTACTTCCTTCTGTTGCTTTGTGTGCTACACGGAGTGTGGCGACTTGAACTTCCGCACATTTGTGCAAAGTTCTATGTCGAAAACAGACAGACAGACAGATTAGCACTTAGACAAAACTACCTTAACCCGGGAAACTGCGGAGTCCATTGTCAGCGCTCAATCACAAAGAGTGGCGCATAACCTGATTCATAAAACACCTAATCCTGATATTATTATTCCTTTGGGTTCCGTGTGTAACACAGAGCTCCTACTACACACGTGGATTTCAGCTTGTCATCTGAAGCTTGTTCTTATTTGGCTTCGCGACGGACCACAGGGTTTTATCCCTTCATCAAATGATCTCATCACTGTCACCCTTGGAACCAAGCCTAGCTCATTGTTTCTCATTGAGACCTTGGCTGATGCTTAATTTCTCCCAAAATGTGTTCAGTTCATCTTCATTTTCTTCGGTATATTCGCCGGGTAATAGGTTCTTGGTTGATTCGTTGTTTGCCAGAGCTCTCCATTGCTTATCCTCCCTCTCTAGCCCGGAGCCAGAGAAGTCAACTGCTGATAAAAGTCTGCAGTGACCTGTTGGAAGGGCTATTGGTGACGTGTGCGTCAAGAGTCTCTGAACCATGGAGAAACATTGAGTTCAAAAAACATTGACTACAACACAACAAATATATGCATAGATACACTCTCATTAAAGAAAAGACACCAAGTGATCTTACCTTTCGTCTAAAATTTGTCGTATTTTATCAGCTATCTCATTGCAACCGTTTACATCAGACTGAGACTTTCCTTTCGTACTCATCAAACGGCTTGCAGCTAAATCGGCTGGTGTTTGACCTGCCCCATTGAGTGGATTAATTTTTGTTAGCGGATGACGTGCTAGAACTGCAACACACTCAACGTTTCCATGTTTACTAGCAAAATGTAAAGGGGTTTCATAATTCTAAACAAAAATATGAAGAAAGAAAGAGAAATTCACATTCAGTGAATGGAATGATAACAAATGGTAGACACTACGTGAAACTAAGTTTATAGAGAAGTCATTTACATAATGACGTCACCTAGAAAACCACTGGAAATTAAGGGTCACTGGTTACCAGGAAATGATCTTGTTGACATAGAATATGCGCATGGTATAATCATCCCGTGTAGGTGAAGACGCTGACAAAGTGCAGGGTCTTCTGAACACCTTGAGCTGAGCAGCAATCTTCGGGTGTTTGGCATGCCATTGACGCGCTCCTGTCAAATGAAAGATGACGCTACAGAACTGGACTGAACTAAATCGACTCACTCCTAGCTTAGAAATAGGGAGTGAAATGGTTGATGAGGCCTGTTGACCATCTAACTTATTTGGGAAGTTGCATCAGCCAGCCCAACGGGTTGATGGTTGACGAAATCTCAGCACGGATACAGAAGGCTCGTGTGGCATTTGCCTGACAAATTACGCCATTTATGGCCTAGTAGACATGATAGCCGGCTGGCTATCGATGAAACGACGTGTGTACCGCTCAGCAGCAGTTCACTCTGTCCTTCTTTATGACTGTCAGTGAGACATGGCCATTGGAAATGGAAGACATGAAAAGTCCGGCTAGCTGTCTATGATCATAGGTGTCTGTGTTCTATCTCCCGTGTTAGGTGATGTAATAGGGTGAGTAACATTGAGGTTAGACGCCACTTAGTAGTTAGGTGAATAGGGGAAATCAATCGACGAAGTTGTGAAGCAGCTGCATGTTTCACGCATGCTTAGTCATCGCTTTCTCCAACGGTCGACGATAGCTGACTGACATACGGCCAGGTTGGAAAACAGCTGGTGATGGTCAAACGAAAGCATGACATTAGTCAATGAAGTTCATAACAATTACTTTGAGCCAACCAAGTAGGGAGGTGTAGACTGGTTGGCTGACTGGTTGGGGTGGCCAAGATGGTAAGAACCAACGAAGGCTGGAGACAATTAGTGATATGGCTGGCTCAAAATCCTAGTTTGAAATAGCTGGTGCAGATGCGCTCACCCTTTGTGATTTGCCAGTCATATCCAATAAAACCCTCTTGTCCCTCTATGTTACGATTCTTTTTCCCTTCTCACACTTCAGTTTATTATCTCTCTCTTTTGAATCTGTCTTCCCTTGGTTGTTGTACTATATGGAGGGGGGGTGGCAACTTGAACTGCTGCACATCTGTGCAAAGTGCTAGATTGAAACCAGTCAGTCAGGTCACTGGAAAGCGTTCTCGTTCTTCCTCTTTGGGTTTTTTTCAATTAAAACTAACATTCATAAGGCTAAGAAAGATGGGCGTCTCAATAGTCAACCGCTAACAGGAGATGATGAGAGTGACTATTTATACCACGAACTAACAAAAGTTAGTATTTCTCAGTGATTTAACTGCGGTGACCCCTTAGTTGAATGATAAACTGCTTGCCTTATAATCATGCGGTTTTAGGCCTTATTCCTCTTGAGGTCATGTATCTACGCTACTAGAAAGTTCTAAACTAGAATGAAGTAACTATTTTCAACAATCCTCTAACTAACACATTAGTTTGTAACACAAGAATGTAAGTCATTGATGCTGAAATGAAAATGCTGCGGGTTGGCCACCCCTCCGCACACCTCTTGAAATGCTCCCATATGACCGGGCGTCTTACATAGCCTCTCCTGAGGAAGTCCTACTCACTGCCTTCACGTGGCGGAGGTGTTTTTCACCAAAGTGAGAGGGCAAAAGCAGATGCCCGGCGCTCTTCACCGGGTTGACTGTCCATTGGATGACAGTCTAGGGGAGATGGCTGAACCCTGACTCCAAACCTCCAACGACTGGCGTATGAAGCTCACTGGAGTTCACCGGCAGACGTATGGACAAAGGGCTTATTGGATCCCCTGGATGACTGGCCCCATTCAAAAAGGCGTATGAACCGGACTCCGGTCACCGGCTGCCAATGGATAGTGGACTCCTTACTCCACTCCTACTGCCTTGTAGGTCACACTTGGTTGTGTAAAGGCTAGAGCTGCACTCTCAAACAAAAGGCCGAGCGATGCTGGGGACATCACTCGTACCAAATTCCCATGAAACTTCATGAACTCTTGTTCATGAAGCCGGCTCATCCTCCCGTAGGAGATAGCCGAAGTAAAGCAAGCAAATGAAAAGGCTTGCAACACACACCAATAAAGCTAATGTTACACACCATGTAGAAACTTCTATCGTTTTACCAACTCCAGTTTCCTGCACTCTGATGCATTAGAACACTTGTGTTACACATTTCTAGTGTGTTGACCAAAAGAAACATCTAGATTCACATATACGAAAGAGCTTTATATAATATTGACATATTTTCAGCTGAATGATCAGATCAAATAACCAACTTTTTTTCATTCCTTTGTGTTCTTAGTGGAAAATAAAGCTTCAAGCTCGAGTCCTGAAGTTTCAATAGATGTGGTGTTGCTTTTCTTTTTTATATAACGGGGTGGTGCTGCTTGCCAAATGCCTAACCTTTTCTGTTAACCAGGCTTACTACTGGTTAAACAAGGTTTAGGAATGCACCACTTGAGGAAGTATGCTTTTGAAAGTGCGTTGGCGGTCGTCACTTCCCGGCTGCCCGCACTTTGAAGTTGCGTGACCGCATAGCCCAGGGAACAACTGCTTGAGGCCGGCCGGTCACAGACGGCCTGTATGAACTGGTTTCTTGGTTTGGTTCCGTATTAGTAAACTTACCGCCGGTTACGGACCACCGTAGGGTAAGTCGGGATGTACAATTTTTGGGATCGATCTTTTCTAACCGCCGCCTCTCTCCAGAGTGGAGAGACAGCATAGCTGGCTGGCATGCTGGTCATCTGAGGGAAATACTTCACTGCTGTTACACCCCTAATCCCCAGCGGTATGACTTCGCCCACAGATCATCCCTAACACAGTGTAAAAAAGAAGAATTCTTACACTATGTCGGTAACTGCATTTAGTCTAATCGCTATCCTAACAACCTTCCTGGCATGATAGGACCTGGAGGAACATTGGTTCCAGCCAGTATAGCTTGTTGGGTCATCGCGATGTGCCAGCCCGACCACCACGTAAAGGTAGCAGCTATCGGCCGGGCATCGCTCGAGAGTCGATTCTAAACGACGTGTGGCCTGGTTGGTGAGAATCTCACTAATGAACTACCGACGCCAGATTACTAAAGTGGTCAGAATAAACTTCATAGAATTTCTATGTAAATAAAAGGATTTTTTATCATTATTGTGTCCTGCAGATTAAACCAAACAAACTTATACTTGAGACTTTAGTGATAATTGAAATCTGCTAATCAATATGCAGAATAACTTCCGGTAATTTACACGGTTTAAATTGAACGTTTATTGCATAACGTAGTGAAGTGCACACGTCCTTTGATCGACGGCCGGATATCACATCTACGCTAGAGACTTCATAGGTTGGGAAATTCAAAACCAGCATTTTGTACCCGTCTATTAGAGCTGATGCAACTCCTCCCCCCAAGTAAGTGAAGTCATTAACACCCTCGACAACTTCACTCCCTACCTTTAAACTGGGAGTCAGTGCAAACCAGTACTGCAGCATTATCTTACATCTTAACAGGAGCTAATCCCATGTCAAACATTCAAAGATTTCTACTCAAAATGTTTAAAAGACTTTGTCTTTTGTCAGGGTCTTCACCTAAAAGAAAAATAACATTCGCATACCACTTAATCGAAATGCAGAGTCTTCTAAACACCTTGAGCCGCAATCTACGAATGTTTGGCATGCGATTCGCTCCCGCCAAATGCAAGATGATGTTACAGGACTGGACTACACCGACTCCCCCTAGATTAGAAATAGGAAGTGAAGTGGTAGAGCACGTTGACCGCTTCACTTATTTGGGAAGTACCATCAGCCAACGCCAACGGGTTGATCTCTGACGAAATCTCAGCACGAATACAGGGGGCTCGTTTCGCATTGGCCAGTTTACGCCGACTCTGGCGTAGACAAGATGTTCGACTACCGACCAAAGGGCGGGTGTACTGCTCATCAGTCCGCTCCGTCCTCCTTTATGGCCAGCTGTGAGACCTGGCCACTCAGAGTGGAAGACATGAAAAGGGCGACTAGCTGTCTTTGATCATAGGTGCCTGCGCTCTATTTCCCGTGTGAAGTGGCATAATAAGGTGAGCAACATTGAAGTTAGCCGTCGAGTTCTAGGTAAACAGGGCAAATCAATCGACGAAGTCGTGAAGTTACAAAGACTGAGATGGTTAGGACATGTGTTACGTATGCCAAGCCATCGCCTCCCTAGACGAGCTATGTTAGCGGATACAGGGTAAAGCTGGAAAAAAGCTAGCGGCGGTCAAACAAAAACTTGGCTTCACCAGTCAATGAAATCCACAACAGTTGGTCTAAGCCACGTAGGAAAGTGTAGACTTCCTGACTGGTTGGGGTCCTCGGGACGGTAAAAATCTATGGTTGGAAACAATTGGTGACATGGCTCAAATGATCGTTCTCAATGCATAGCGCAGATGCATCCACTCCTTGTGACTTATGATTTCCAATGAAACTGTTTTGTTCTTCATTACTACTATTCCTTTGTCTCACACCTCTGTTTACTGTCTCCATTATACATTTCTTTTACTTCCTTCTGTTGCTTTGTGTGCTACACGGAGTGTGGTGACTTGAACTTCCGCACATTTGTGCAAAGTTCTATGTCGAAAACAGACAGACAGACTTAATCGACGAGACTATACCTTTGATAACAAGTGAATCCTTAGGCGACTTTAAGTCGATTAAATTCCTATTCATCAGTCCAACTATGGTGAAATTAAACAAAAAAGGGTACAATAGACATTCTTGACGGACATTACTGGTTGTGTTATCGCCTCAGATGGCATCTCCTCATAAACACTAACACAAAACTGTCTGAGTTTGAGTAGGATACCTTGATAAGTGGTATGATATACATTCTTAGCAATCTCTTCATGATCAGACATAACATTCCCACAACACCTCTTAGTCGACAAAGTCAAATGACACCTTTATCAAGTTTAGAAATATGACACTAGAATTGAGTGCAATGGAGATATAAGCTACTGGCTAGTTGGTTTCAACATAGAACTTTGCACTGATGTGCAGCAGTTCCAGTCGCCACACTCCCTTCTTGTAGCACACAAAGCAAGAGAAGAAAGTAAAAAGAAATGTGAAATAGACACATTATACAGAGATATGATGCAAAGAGAATAGTATTATGGAAGAAGAACAATATGGTTTTATTGTGTTATAAGTCACACGGAGTGGATGTATCTGCGTTGTCGCTGAGAACGATCATTTTGAGCCACATTATCAGTTGTCTCCAGCCATTGGTTTTTACCGTCTCGAGGACCTCAACCAGCAAGTCTACACCTTCATACGTGGCCAACTTAAACTTAGTTTTTCCCGGGCTACTGAAGAAAAACTATAGCTTATTACGCAGAATGTTAAAGGTTGTCAGCAGGGTAAGCAACGTGCCACTTAACCAGCTTGTTAATATTCTGATCGACAAGCACTTGAACTCATGTGAAAAGTGGGCTAAATCCATTTTATCTAACTCACAACACCCTCTTCATTCACAACTCTCCCCTTGTATCTCATCAGACAGGACCACAAGCCTATATAGAAAACTACATGCTCGCACTAGCAAGTACAAAATCTCAACCATACCCTACTTAGCTCGTGTTCTGTCCGATAAAGAAAGCATTAGGCGTGAAACCTTTAGCTTATTAAATAGTCAGTAGAACAATTGGGTCTCGTCTTTCCAACTCATATCATTTATAGGTACAACGTTCTCTTTCTTTCTTTTCCTTTTCTCTCTCTCTTTTTTCTGTTATGTGTTGCTTTGTTTCTTTCTCCTTTACAAACTCTATTTAAAACATTCTTCTTTGTTCTTTCACACTGTATATCTCGACCTATCGTTACCGGGACTCTAGGAATCAATGGCTGGAGACTATAGGTGACATGGCTCAAAGTGATCGTTGTCAATGGCCAGCGCAGATGTATTCAGTCTCTGTAATCTTTCATATTCCTTTCTACCATTACCCATTCTGTTTCACTCTTATACTTGTCAGACTGTATTGATTCTCTTCACTGATCTTCTTGTCTACCTCTGTGTGGTATTTGGAACGTGGCAACTCGAACTGGTGCACTTCGATGCCAAGTTCTATGTTGAATCCAGACAGGCAGACAGACCTATCGTTACCGCTTACGCCAGTAAATATGCTAGTATCTACTTTTCTAACACCCTCAAACATTCTGTTCAATTTTGGCTTTGCTACCGACATGCCAATATGTTGTCAAAACTAGCCGAGATTACCTTTAATCTATGTAGAATTTTATTAATTGCTAATGTACTAACCGGATGCAATACTGTAGTATAATGCTGAGAATTGCATTCTGTATCACAAGTACTGTTTTGGAATAAAGCAAATTATTATTATTATTATTAACTGTTGTGGGTTTCGTTGACTGGTGCCATGTTTTGGTTGGATCATCCATGTCTCTTTTCCAACCTGACACGTCGCGGAAGGCGATGGCTAGGGATGCATGCGTAACACATGTCTTAATCATCTCAGTCGACATAGCTTCACAGCCTCGTTGATTGATTTCTCATCCTCCTCATCTAGCCACTCGATTGAGGCCTAACCTCAATATTGCTCACCTTATTATACCACTTCATACGGGAAATAGAAGGCATGCACCTATGATTAAAGACAGCTGGCTGGGCTTTTCATGTCTTCCACTCTCAACGGCCATGTCTCACTCACAGTTAGTCATAAAGAAGGACAGAGCGAACTGCTGTTGAACAGTACACACACCCTTCAGTCTACAGCTAGCCAGATATCACAACGACTAAGCTAGAGACGGCGTAAACTAGCATATACTCTACTCGGAAAGTAAGGAAATAAAATGACTGATAATATTCAATCATATTTTGAACAAAATTGCTTTTTTAAAAAAATACTTTCATGTCAAAAAAGAAAAACAAGAGATCACAGAGGTAATAATGCAAACATCATTATCCAAACTTAACTTACTCCAAGTTCAGGACTATTCAAGTATAAATCTAAGACGTACTGTTGCCGCCAATAAGATGCTTCTTTACTCACATTAGGATAAATACGTTCCCAAAATGCATCCGAATCAAAATAGTTCAATAGAAGATGTAGTAAGGCTACATTGCCATTTGAAGCAATCACATGTAATGCATTGTATCGAAAACGTATCTACGAAAAACAAAAAACAACAAAAAAAGTAATAATAAATTCAGGCGAGCAATATTTATTTGTCTAGAATTTTAACCTGTGTATTGTAATTCTGTCCATATTTTTGGTGTGTATGTGTGTGTGGAGGGGGGTCTTAGGTATTTGAAATAGTATAAACTAGTCATTGGGGGGGGGAGTAATTATGATCTCTCAGTTTAAAAGTTTGTCTGTTTTCGACATAGAACTTTCCCCCGATGTGCACCAGTTCAAGTCGCCACACTCCCTACATGTAGCACACAAAGCAAGAGAAGAAAGGAAAACGAAATGCATAATAGAAACAGTAATCAGAGGTATGAGACAAAGGAAGAGTAATAACGAAGAACAAAAGTTTCATTGGAAATCATAAGTCACAAGGAGTGGATGCATCTGCGTCAGCCATTGAGAACGATCGCCTTGAGTCATATCACCAATTGTTTCGAATTACTGGTTTTTACCGTCCCGAGGACCCCAACCAGGAAGTCTACACCTTCCTACGCGGCTGGATTAAACTAACTGTTGTGGATTTCATTAACTGATGAGGCCATATTTTGGTTTGACCACCATTGGGTTTCTCTTTTCCAACCTGACCCTATGTTAGCTAACATTACCAGTTGTCGAGGAAGGCTATGACGTGGTATGCATAACACATGTCCTAACGATCTCAGTCGATGCAGCTGATTCACAGCCTCGTCGAATGATTTCCCCTGCTTACCTAGAACTCGACGCCTAACCTCAAAATTGCTCACCTTATTGTATCACTTCACACGGACGGGAGATAGAACGCAGGCACCTATGATCAAAGACATCGCGCACAATGCAGGCTGTCGCCCGAGTGGAACCTGAGCGGGAAACAGAAAGTTGACCCAAGGGTGACATGGAAGAGATCGCGCAAGGAGTAGATTAGAGACTATGGTCAATCATGGAGCCAGCTAGAGAGGACAGCATAGAATACGACCCGAAGGGACGATAGTAATAATACCTGAACTGATATGAAGTCCCACTAATATCATATCAATGATTATTAAAGTAGAATTGCCCTCGTTAACGACCTGGTCGGTACAGCCAAAGGAGAGTAGACTTCGGTCTTTCGAAATCCTCTCATCTGGCCACGCTTTTATAGACTGTCAGGTGAGTCCTATTCACTGCTTCCACCTGGTGGTGGGCCAATGTGAACATTTGCCACTCACAGTGAAACTGATAGGTCCATGCATGTCCAGCTAAGAGAGCTGGAAATCCTTGGCTCCAAACGTACAGTTTACATAAGCTCATGAATACGAAAGGATAGGATGGCCTATGAACTTGTCCTGGTCACTGAGAACCATAAGAACGTAGCTCGACCAAAGGGCGGGTGTACTGCTCATCAGTCCGCTCCGTCCTCCTTTATGGCCAGCTGTGAGACCTGGCCACTCAGAGTGGAAGACATGAAAAGGGCGACTAGCTGTCTTTGATCATAGGTGCCTGCGCTCTATTTCCCGTGTGAAGTGGCATAATAAGGTGAGCAACATTGAAGTTAGCCGTCGAGTTCTAGGTAAACAGGGCAAATCAATCGACGAAGTCGTGAAGTTACAAAGACTGAGATGGTTAGGACATGTGTTACGTATGCCAAGCCATCGCCTCCCTAGACGAGCTATGTTAGCGGATACAGGGTAAAGCTGGAAAAAAGCTAGCGGCGGTCAAACAAAAACTTGGCTTCACCAGTCAATGAAATCCACAACAGTTGGTCTAAGCCACGTAGGAAAGTGTAGACTTCCTGACTGGTTGGGGTCCTCGGGACGGTAAAAATCTATGGTTGGAAACAATTGGTGACATGGCTCAAAGTGATCGTTCTCAATGCATAGCGCAGATGCATCCACTCCTTGTGACTTATGATTTCCAATGAAACTGTTTTGTTCTTCATTACTACTATTCCTTTGTCTCACACCTCTGTTTACTGTCTCCATTATACATTTCTTTTACTTCCTTCTCTTGCTTTGTGCGCTACATGTAGGGAGTGTGGAGTCTTGAACTGGTGCACATCGGGGGAAAGTTCTATGTCGAAAACAGACAGAGACAGACTGGACGTTACTCCATTGCCATTTATATCAGACTTCAAGTCTAAGGCTTGAGGGAGGGGAAGGGGCCACTTAAGACAACCGCCTGTTTTTGTACTCCAGTCCTGGCACAAATTATAAGATTTCGTGTGATACATCTTCTGGTGCCCATAATGTAAACAGTTCGTATTCTTATAATAAATATACAAAAAGTAGAATAATCAGAAAGGGAAAGTGATGAAATAGCAGTCACCTAGCTGAAATATCCACCCAAAAATTTGCAAAATTATTAACCTATGTATCTTGTAATTCATATTGTTATCAATAGACCCATTAGTTAAAAGTAACTAATATAAGCTGGCATGAAATAATTCTTTGTTCGCATGCAAAAATGCAAAACTGTCACTGTCTTGCTGCTAATTTTAATGACTTTCTAAATGGTGACTTCTACCAGACAACGATAAATAAAATACCAAATAGCAGGAAAAAAATTACTATGCCAAGTTAATGTATGTGTAACACTTGGGCACTGTGGTAGTAAGTAATTCCATATTAGTTTGTTTATTAGATGTATCACACAGTGAAACAGTATTATTTACTGGATGACGTTTCGAACACAATTTATTGTCCATAATCATATCATATCGATATGATTATACAGTAAATAATACTGTTTCACTGTGTGATACATCTAATAAACAAATTAATATGGAATTACTATGCCAAGTGTTCGCAACACATAAATGCATTTAATGTAGTGAATACATCGAGCAGCATGGCTGTGAATCATATTATTCGGTGTACAAAAAATTTTAAATTATACAAAACTTTAAAATGTAGTCACAGTACTTATACTTTCTCATAATATCTATTATAATTCGTTAGAAGACCGTTTCGTCCTGGCACGGGACTCCTCAGCAATACGCACTCGTTGGCGCTTGAACCCAAGACCTCCCGGTTACAAGGCAAGTTCGCAGACCACTCGCCCAGCTACCGGGACCTGATTCAATGGCTTAAGAATTCCAAATTTCATCAATCCGTGATTTTAGTGCGATCACTAACCAATGTCATTCATGGAGAGTATTTGTCCGTATGCCTGACGAGATAACTCCCACTGGTCATTACTTCTCACTGGAACTCCAGGAAACTTTGTAATGTAGCAGGTTACTAGCAAGCGTCAGATAAATTTTCAGGAGTTAATTTGTAGAAATTTGATTCGTTTCAAGTTCGATCACGGATTGATATCAGTTAGAGAACCACTGAAAACTAGGAAGTACCGGTTCTCCAACTCATACCAGTCCGTGATCAAACAAATCGAAACTCTAAAAATTAACTCCAAATATTTATACGGATATTATGAAAGTAAAAGCTTTGAAGACTTCTTTTTACCACAAGTGACTACACAGTACCGGTGTATTTTTTTCACTGACTCGACTTTCCGACCTGAGTCAATCGGGGAAAACAAGCAAAGCAAAACAGCCACCACGTTTTTCGATCATGCTCAGCTAAGTATCATGCATTAATGGTTAACATGAACGGTCATTTAGTATTGATTTCCATCAATACCCAGTTTTTCAAGCTAAAGTGGTTGAAACAGGACTCGAACTCGGCAGTCACTGGTTGAATAGGCACTCACCATATACAGACACTAATATTTACACAATCTGCCAAGTTTATTGTTTTATGGTTTCACTGACTGATAACATACATTCATTATTGTATGTATCTTATTAAGTCCACTTCCATAAGCAAAAACATTTACAGAACACAAAATACTTTACACTACAATAAACTTCCGATGAATATGTAACCCCGACAGGCCAAGTGTTCTAATCCCACAAAATATTACACATTGCTACATTATTAACATTTTTTATTTGGGTTACGGGTGAAATATTGGGCTTTAACAGCATATTTTTCCTGGATTCCGTTTTCTGTTGTTTTTTTCAGGTGGTTCCAAGACTGTCACAAGCGTCTATTTCCTCTACAGTGACTTACAAAGAAAGAGGTCACTTGTTTGTTTAAGTAATCTTCAATTCGACACTACTATGCAGGGTAGAAGTTACTAGTACTTTTTGATGTGGTTTTGTTCTCTGAGCTGGATGGTTAGTTTGCGAAGCTTTCATCACCTTACTGGGTGACATCTTCAGCGCATACTTCGAAAAATTCCTTTGTCTCACACCTCTGTTTACTGTCTCCATTATACATTTCTTTTACTTCCTTCTCTTGCTTTGTGTGCTACATGTAGGGAGTGTGGCGACTTGAAGTGGTGCACATATGTGCAAAGTTCTATGTCGAAAACAGACAGACAGACAGACAGACAGTTAGGATCAGGAATAAGCTTATGGTTACGATTAGGTATAGATTAACAGTTGTCATTTATTTTAATTTGTTTTTTTTATCCACGTTTTCCTGGAAATTAGTCGTCTATCCTCTTGCTGGAAACTATAATAATTCAACCGAGGGCATTTTTGGAAGACTGCAAGCAGGATGAGAGAGATAAACGATTCACAAAAGCAGTTTGCCTGTAATCACCTCGGTGAATACATGTACAGAAACTAGTCTTACTTAGCAACTGATACTCCTCGTTATAACTAGGACGAATTTTTAAGCCATGTCAAAGAAAGATAACCTGTTTAATGCGCTTTCTTGTCAATATACATCATTTTTGAGCAAACATTCCTCATTTTTACGATTGGTCAGCTAAAGGTTACTCGTACGTTCGCACTCCTAGGACGCTATTGTTGAACTTTGTCCAAAAACATACAAGGCAGTGTATACAATAAAGTCGGTCAAATGACGTATGACAAAAACGAACAAAAGTAGTTGCTTATCCCACATTCGGGAACAACCACTATCACACACAAACGACACTTAAAGAATGAAACACAGATGAATCTCTAAACTAAGATACTTACCATGAAAAAGATCAAGTGCTCTAAAACTAGTCATTCGATAATTCTTTATTATAAACACCTCACCACTGACCATAATTAGACCACAAAGTTCATCGTAAAGATAGCACAACAAGGAATGTGAGGTCAAATTTTAAGCCGAAAAAAATTAGGAAATACAAAAACCAGCAAACAATGAGAAAGTCACTTGATTGGTGATACTTACTTGCAATATTGTGGGAGTATCACATGAGGTAACTAAAACCATCGGGTTTTCGTCAATCATTCGTTGAACACTTTGGACATCACCATTGCTGATCAAAGAGCGGAAGCGTATCAAAGTTTGCTGACTAACATTAGGATACGGGCTACTTTCAATGTCAGGTTTGGGTGACTTAATATTTCAAAATCAAAATAGGATATTTTAGCTTACGGCAGGATATGGATTGCCGAGCTTGTCATCGTCAACTGGTGTATCTGCATACTTGTTAGCATCAATATGATTGTTAAATAGTTTAAGTCTGGCACCCTTAATCCCACGTAGTTTCAAATAAGCCTGTTTTGGATCGACGAAAACTTCACCGTGACCCTTGTCTCTAGGAGAGGCTACAGCATAGAAGCGAGCTGACAGAAAAATGAAACAAATAAAACTCTACCTTCTGTCTGGCAATCGTAGTACTCCTCATCAGAATCCTCATATAGGGAACCATTCATATCAAACGCGGGCGTTGATAAGGCATATCCCCTATTTGAAGTGGCGCCTCTGGCTTAACCTTGACGACATTTGCGCGGTTTCGTTGGTTTGAGTTGGAGCTAGTCGTCCAGCAAACGCAGTAGGCGCGATTTTGGTGCTTATTTTGCTCTTGTTGGATGAATTTATATGAAAATTATTGTTCGATATTGTTCTTGAGCATTTACTTATTTCTTGTGTGACAGGACGCTTAAATACATGGTTCATGCAGTGATTTTTGGCATGCCGAGTAAGGTTCGCGTACATTTCAACGACTGTCATTCGATAAATTTCTTTGCAGATTGGCGGAAACTTGTATTCAGTCTCAAATTTCCCTATCAGCATTTGTGCAGTACCTATTACTGCTGCAGGAACCGAAGAATATGGTTGATATCAAATTTTGCATCCTTCCGCACTTTTGTGTGGTGTTTTGATAGCTGAAAGTCAATGGAATGCATAGATACAAGCGAAAATTAGTGTTCACAAATGGGAAGAAACTGCAATATGTTTTACGATCACTTACAACATTCAGTGTTTTCTGCCAAAATTTTTAAATGAGTTAAATGCACACTGCAACATTTTAGTAACTTGGTGGATTTCAATACCATCCTCGTGATCAGGCACGTAAAGACATCTGACGTGTGTGTCATTTTGTCCTATTGGTGAGTTTGGTTTCATAAACTTCCCATTTTTGTTATTGTCCTGACGCCACATTATTCGCGCTTGTTCGAAGTTAATTCACAAAATTATTTTAAAACCACGTAGAAGTAGTATCCGACATCTCTTAAAGCTATGGACGTAAGGTTTAGAAGTAATTGCTGTATCCATTTAGGGAAGGCTCATCGATTTCTGCAAGTAAGGGCTACGCATCATATTCCTAAATGCCTCCAGAAGCAACGGAATCTTCAGAAGTTATTAATGGGGTCCCAGCTCCGCTATTTCGAAACATATTATAGGGACAGGACATAAAACTGACGTTTGCACATTTTTTAAACCTATCTGGGCGAAGTTTAAGAATAGCGTCCCAAAACCTTCAACGCTCAAATGACCTTGAACGCATGCTAGTCGTTGGCTAACGGTTCCTGTCATTATCATAGCTGAAATATCAACCCTATTCATCAAATAAGGAGCAAGTTCCACCCAGGTAACACTTTTATTACTGTTTGGACAATGTGTTAACATCTCGTTAGGGTTGGGATGGGGGTTAAGGCGAGTATTGTGGTTAGGGTTAGGGTTACGGTCATTGTGTGCGTCGGTGGCACAATGGTTAGGGTTAGGGTTTAGGGTTAGGGTTAGGTTTAGGGTTCAGGGTTAGGGTTATGGTTAGGGTTAGGGTTTAGGGTTAGGGTAGCGATTAGAAATAGATTTTTTGTTTATTTCAAGTTATTTTGTTATCCTTATTTCCCTTGTATGTAGTCTCCAATGCTCTTACTGGAACCATAGTAACTAAACCGAGGGCTGAGGAGAGGACTACACAGCAAGAGAAGAGAGATGAACCATTCCCAAAACAGCACACCTTCAGTCTCTTTGGTGAATACATCTACAGAAAGTAGTCCAAATTAGCAACTGATACTCTTCATCGCAACTGGAACGTATTTTTAAGTCATATCAGAGAAATATAATCCGTTTAATGTTTTTTTCATGCATTTTTGTGTAAATATACGTTAAATTTTATGCAAAATTCCTGCTATTTTCTGACTGGTTGGCTCAAGGTCATTGTGCGTTCGCAACTCTTGGGACTCCATTCTTAAACTTTGCCCCTATCTGTAAAACGTGTTTGAATTGCGTCCTAAAGTTTGTGGAATCCGAAGTGTTATTCGGAAGTTTAAACCACTTTTGTGAGTTCCAAGACTATTCGTCATCACACGAAACCTTCTTTGTTAAACTTCGTTTTGATACTAGTCAGGGTAGATGTACTAGTCTCTCTGATATTTGGTTTAGTGATCTTCATTGTTATTTTGACCTCCAATATGTGGTTTTAATTCCACCTAAATTTATTTTCTAGACTTTTAACTGTATTAATCTCATATGTATTCCTATAACAAGTCCATGCGTGACCAGATTGTCCAAAATGTGTTGCACAAATACAACACTACACGACTCAGACAAATTACGTCTTCTTGTTACTTCGTCTAAATATCCACTTGTGTCAAAAATAGTGACTGATGTAATCGCACATCGATATAAACTTTCATTAATTCTTACTGTGCTGTCTCGTTAATATTATATTGGTAGTTATATTCATGTATACATCCTGTGAACCCTTGTTTTCTTTTTTAGATAATCTGTAGTTCCAGTGACCTCGTGGGATTCGTTGCTGAAGAAAGTGGTTTCCAGTACCGTTGATTTTGTATTTTGTGTCGAATCACTAATAAATGTATTCTCTATACCTCAAATAGACATTCTACTTGTTAATAGTCACTACTAACTTTATAGAATGTTGTGAGCTACAGAGTTAGGGGGTTAGGGTCATGTGTTGTATTGAGTAGCGCGTTTAGAAGATACGTCCGCCCCTGAGGAATATTGTCGTCAATATGGAGTACATTCTCGTGATAAATCTGTTAGCAGTAATTATTATCAGTACCTATATTTCGTATGGATGGTATATAATGAAACGTACTAATTCAGTAGTCAAAGGTTAGAACTATCCGTTAAAATTGAAACAGGTGCTCATGTAAGGGAAAACTGATTAATCGAAAGTTGAAACATCACGTAAGTGATAAAGTTTATAGCATTGTTTACATGCGAATAGTTAAGGTTATTTATTTAGAAATGATGGTAACTCGTTGATGGTTTAAGGGATGTTTTGTTTGATAGGAAATAGATGGGACATTGTAACTGAAAAACAGTGTAACTGGATAAGCAACATCAGCTGGCCAGTATACACATATTTTGAAGTAAAACACGATCGGGTAAAGTATTTCGAAGACAGGAGTAGAGCAGTCTTCTGGAACTATTAATTTAGTGAGCAATTAAATTTGTCTTTGAATTAAGACTGAAAGTAAGCGGCATATTGGTAAGCTAAACGATTATCATTATTCGGTTTCGTTAGAATAAGTATCCGAGTACTGTTTCACTCATCATTCTGTCTTTTGAATAACTTAGTAACATGGCGTTTACTTTCGGATCCAAATTACTAAGTAAAGGTTAATATCCCTAAGATTAAATTGTCGCCAAAGTAAGTAAATATGTTCATTTCTAGAAAATACTAAGGTTTGGAGTTGTTTTTTACTACCACAACACCAGGTGACTCACCAATTAGTCACAAAGTAAAACTAGATCTGTCAAAGAGAGTCTGCTCCTGACTTCTAGGTTTCGTGAAGGTAGAACTATATACATAGGTTAATAGGATTAGACGCATGATGTCAATTCGAAACTAGGTAATTACGTTTCGCAGCTACAGAAAACACCACGTTACAATCTATTCCTTTAATCGTGTCAATCAATGTGACATCAATTAAGACTAGAGAAGGAACACCACTGGTTTTCACAAAATCCATTTGTGTTCCCTAATATAATGTACATTCCGTAATTATAGGCAAACTAGGAAACGCACCAAGTCATCACATATACGAACAATAATTAATTTAAAGGAATGCCTACTCGATATGGTCCAGAGTTCATGTGAAGTGACACATGCCTACATCTGAAAGTGCGTGTGTAAGGTATCGCATTTCGTCAGCCTTTCGTGTAAGTGACTCAATGGGTCGCCTCCATATTTAACAAATGCTCAGTCCATGAATTCTACTTGTACCTGTAAAACACAAAGAATACCCTGCTGGGATATGGTGCTGTGTTACACTAGAGTCCCTCAGTTTACAGGTAAATCACACTTAATATCAGTATTGCGGCTTTTAGTTGAAAAAGTCATTCGACTGTGTCACAGATGCTTTTGGCTGGATTCCTCAGTACCAAGTATTATTCCCTATGAGAGTGCATTGAAGAAACCCTGCAGGGTGATATTGAAGCTTCGCCGAAAATTGAATAGAAGCATTTCACTCATACAAGATGTATGCAGTAAAGAATACATTATTAACTCATTGCGCTCACTCCTACATTACCCTATAAAATTCTCTAGTTTGGAAATGAGAAATCCACATATATATTGTGTCGTTAACTTCAGATACACACTAATATCTAAATTTCATACGCCTTCTGTCTCACTACTCCATGTAATAATAGTTTGATTGTTATTTCCGAATGCAGTAATAAGTATTTCATGGGCCACGAGTAGCACTTGGTATTCAGCAGAGGTATGGGCACTTAGTGATTGTAATTTAGAGAACTGATACGACAAGGTTAGCTTTTTTCTAATATATACGCAACTATCAACACAATGAAAAGATAATGACGAATTGTTATCACAAGCATTCTATTTACTATGGAGGGAATGTTATTACAAGCTAACTTCACAGTAACATGTACAAGTCTTGCATGTCATTGCATCAGTAATATTAGCACACTAATTGTATTACGGCCAAGTGTAAATGATTTAAAGGCATCGTAACAATAACTTTGCGGGAGGTAGATGTATTGAAAGACTGCTTGCAGACACTATGTATGACGACATCTAGTAGAATGTCTACGGAGACTGACAACCTGCAATGAGGAAGACAAAAAGGAAACAATTAGGAGACACATAAGATAAGTATTTTTGACATAAGTATAAAATTTGGGCACTGTGGTAGAGTATAACTCCATTATGGATACGATTTTATTTTGATAAATCACACAGTGTTGTACAGCAATATTACTTGGTGGCGTTTTGAGCACAAACTATTGCTCATGATCATATCAAGTCAGTCACACAACTTTTTGCCTCATTCATATACATGAGTATTTTAGTTAAGCGTACTACAGGGATAAAAGGTCACTCATCTCATTCACTTCTATTCACACTATTTCTTACGTCCGTGTTACTGACTTTTGGTTTATGTTTTCCTCTTCGGTGCACTTTATCTGGACAGTTTAAGGAATCGGGAAATGCATAGAGTACTTAGGAAACGGCATGAATAATTGTTTAAGCTAATTAACACTAGGTAGTTGTGACACTACGCATCTGCAGTGACAAAGCTGACTGACTGAGTTTTAACATGGAAATGAGCACAGAAGTGTAGCAGTTCGATTTGTGACGTTCCACACTTGAAAAATATTATATTTGGTTGGTAATAAGCAAAACATATTTCATCAGATGTGTTTCAACTTCGCATTTGGGCTACACGATAAAATTAACTAACTAATGAGATATAACGGGACAGAGTGTGAGAGTTATCTCGGGTAAGAGGAGAAATTATTGTAAGATCACTTTTTTCAGTTAGACAAGAACTAAATGAAAAAATACGATTACCATTTGTTGACATTTTGCCTATTTTTATCCACGTTTTAGCATTTCATTATACCTGGACTATAGATCATTCTGACAGACTGACTTTCAACATAGAAGCTTGCACACAAGTGCACCCGCTTAAGTTAGCACATTCCATGTAGCACACAAAGGTAGAAGAAAAAAGAAATTAAATGTCACTATAATGAGCATAAATGTGATGAAAAACAGTCATATGGAAAAAATATAAGGGTTGCTCAGATATGTGAGATTACACAGAGTGAATGCATCTGTGTCATTAACAACGTTTGGAATCACATTTCTACTTAACACTAAGCTTAACCCCAATATTACTCACCATATTAGACTACTTAACACAGAAGAAAGGGTACAGACACTACGATCAAAAACCAGTAGTCTTTTCATATCTTCCAGTTTCAATGGTCACTTATCGCAGCCTAAGTGGACAATACCATCAGCATACACTAAGTTGACAAGACTGTTCCCTGGTAAGGGCCTAAAGTGAGTAACAGACAATTCGGTTAATACATTTATGATGAAATTGAACTAAAATAAGGACGACAGTTGTAGAAATGAGCCTTGTACTACATCCTTCTTTGAAATATCAGTTCCTTCATAGTTTAGTTTCAGTAATAAGTGAATGGAATGCAGTCTACAGATTCATGAAATTCGCATACTGACGTACTACTTTCCTAGAATCCTAGTTGATGTCTCCTCAGGAAAGTGGGAAATGAGCATTCCACTTGCGTAAACTCAATAGGCTGTGAACTGCTGGCAATGAAAACGACAACAATTTTTGGTATTACTTAATTCCAAAAACGATCACATAATCTTTTATTCCGACTTCTGGTTCCATCAGATGAAATTAAAGGGAAGAGCTGAGAATAGAGGGGATGTTGAGGGTTAGACAGTATAGATTTAGACCATTTCTCGCATGAGTTTAGATGTCTTTTAACTAATGCATTAACGAGTTGACTAAATGGTACACCACTTGCCCTAATGACAACCTTAATACCTTGCACAATACGACATAGTCGTTTTTGAGTAATTCAGGAAAGAATAAGGGGGAGCAGTAAAGACCAATGCAAGAGTTAACAAGTTGTAAAAAGAGAGGTTGAATGATTCCTGACTGTCTTGACTACATAACATGGTAAGCTAGACTGAAGAAATCGACAAGATATAGAATGACCAAGAAAGACCAGAGGATAGATTTACTCCAAGGTATTTTATGTTAGACTTAGTTTCTGTTTCAGTGCCCTCTTTGATACAAACATCTTGTGAACGACACAGTTCTTGCAGTTCACGCTTATGAGTGAGGGGAAAGTTAACTGCCTGACATTTAGAGGGATTTAACGCAAGACCACGTACCTTAGACTACAGACAGGAAGCAGTTAAGTTTGCTGCAGTCACATTGTAACATGACAGGAAGTGAGACGGTCAGATCACCAGCATATTTGACGAAGTTGCTCTCATTAGAAAGAGAAAGGTCATGTAAGACGAGAGAGAAAAAAGAAAAAGAGAGATAACAATACCCTGAGGAACACCAGCTCCAGCAGGCGAGGCGGAAGATTTACCCTAATATACAGTATGCTGCATTCCATTTGAGAAATGATAATGCAACCAATCAACTGCCCAGGACCCGTGTTTGCACGATCGAAACCTTATTCAACTAAAGTCATCTAGGCGCTGAGTCAACAGCAACGGCGAATGCTGAATGACCGAAAACTAAGTACAAATGTGACAAAGCACAAATCCAGTTGCAAAGTAGGAGACGAGTCCCGGGTGGAAGAAGAGATTACCGAAAGGTATCAATTTTTCATTTGACAAAGAGCAAGATTATGAACTACACTTATCATTTGTTGAAATTTTGGAGATCATTTATCAATGTTTCGCATTTAGTTACGCACAGACTGTGTCATTCTGAGTAGCTTTCAGTATGAGTTTGCAGAGAAGTCCACCTGTTTAATTTACCACATTTCATGTAGCACACAAAGGTAGAGACATAAAACTAAATGGAAGTTTAACGAGCGAAAATGTGAGGGAGAATAAATAGTGACAAGGAAAAACATGAGTTGAATAGATATGTGAGATTACACAGAGTGAATGCACCAGTACCAGTACCAAAGATTTGCAGTCACATCTCCGGTATTTCTTCCAGCCGACTGTCAACAATTTTATGAACCAATATCACTTTTTCATTTGACCGACCCAAACACATTTTAAACCTTAACATGTGCTGGCTAGCATTGTCCCTGGAGAAAGGCGATGGCTTTGTATGCCAGCACGTGTTCTAGCCATCTCAACCTATTCAGCTTCCCTACCTTGAAGACTAACCCTCCCCACCTAAACATTTATGCGTAACCTCAACAGCACTCGCCATATTATACTGCTTTACTCATGAGATAGAACGCGGACACCTATAATCAAACACCGGTATTATTTTCATATTTTACAGCATCAGGGGTTACTTCTCATAGTCTAGGTGGACAATATCATCAGCAAACTGTAAGTTGATGAGAATATTCCCTGATAAGTCTCTAAAGTCAATTACAGACTATCCTATTAATATATGTGTGATTGAATTGAACTTTTATAAGGATGACAGTTTAAGAATTCAGCCTTGTGTTACATCCCACTCGGAAATGTGTTTTCTCGGATAATTCGCAAACAGTATTCAGTGAACAGAAAACATTCTGTAGGCTTAATGAAACTCGTAAACTGACGCACTACTTTTGCAGGTATTATGGTATTTCCTCAATAAAGTGAGAATTGAATATTTCGGCTGCATAAAACGAGTAAGTAGTATCCTGGGAATACCAATGACTACAACAAGTCTAGGAGTTATGCACTACAACTTTTACTTTACTGAATACACCAGCAGACTTTACATAAACACTTGACAGATCAAATTTATACAGGAAGTCAGTAAGATTTAGTAAACTAAAAGTGCTTTCGGTTTCCACAGGAGTTCTCCGTGCCGAATTTATTCCTTCAAGGGCCTACAGAGATTAAATATTCAATTAAATAACACTGACGTGGAAGAAATTCCATTCTTCATTACTACACTTAATGAAAAGAATCATGTTTTTTATTTTGAAAACAGGAGAATTCGTAATGTTTTACTTTATGTAAATGCAGTTGCATACAGTTGCACTAAGAACTCAACGCAACTCGATACACAATAGTATATATACAAATAAACTGAAAAATAATGTCCTCCTTACCTTCTGAACAACTTGTCCTTATTCCAGGACTATAATTTTTTCACCTATGAGCCTGAGTTATGTCTACGAAATCGCAATATTACATCAGTTAAATCTTCCCCCAAAACCAAGGCCGCTTGAAACCAATAGCAACATAGCAACAAGCGTCATTGAGGGGATATGCAATAAAGTCGCTCATCATACACATGTCTGGTAAAAGTAACCTTGAAATTAAAATACCACCCTTGCTTTGACCGATTTATAACAAACACAAAGTAAGCAGTACAGCATAATGTGATCTTGAGATGTCAGAGCTAAACTATTTTGTGGCTACGTAAATTAACATAGGAAGAAGAAAGTTTTGTGTGTAGTTTCTCAAATGCAATAGCTAATTTATCTGTTATGAGTAAGGGTTCGTAGTTCCTGAATCTGAAGAGCAGTTTTAGCCCTGTTGTAGATCAAAATGCCCTGGGTTTAATGAACCACCTCTGATAGACTGATTTTACCCCTCTAGTATATTCAGATTGGTTTACTGACACTTTAGAGTACTGGTTGTCTACAAGTCGGAATTCAACTTAACCAACGTAATTAGAAAACCATTGAAAACCAAGGGGGTGAACAGCTTTTCTGCCACATTTATTTCAGGAACATTCAACAGCAACCATGTGATACCCCTCCAGTGGTCAAAATAAGGACTACTTGATTGCCAGATGAGCACGTTTCCAACCAGCCACTGGGACGGAATATGAGACTTGTTAAACACGTTAGAGAAATACAGGTTTTCAAGAATAAAATGGTCGTAGTAGAAAACAAATGTATAGCGGTGAACAATTCCGCGAAATGCTCATTATACCACATTCTTAACTCAACAATGGATGCTAGCCTTCACAGTTTAGATCGACCTTTCAGGCTGGAAGTACACACTCAAGCATTCACGCCGTTCACCCCACTGTCGTATCACACTCAGTTGTTCGTAAACAAACCTTAAATAGCTAATCGATCATAATGATGCACTGTTTTTGATCGAGTCTTGGATGGTCGATTAGGAATTTTGAGTTTTCCTTTTTAAGCTGAAACAACAGGTTGGGGGTTACTTTTTTAACAACTTGCTTTTGTGCACAGCGTATCTTGCGTCAATGTCGACACCTTTTATTCCCCCGAAAATGTCCTATGACGAATTCAGTCGTATATGAATTATCTCTGCTGAGGCGGAATACACAGTCAAACACACAGAAAGGTCATTTATCATTCAATAGATACAAGAGGACTTGAGAATCACAAAGATGATACGGTTCTTACTTCGTTAGCCGTCCCATCCTTCTGGATTTATTAATCGTTTACTAAATTTTAGTAGCCATAGCGTGCTGTTGTAGGAGCCCCATTAGATCTTTGGTAAGGAGTAAAAGCAATAGCTATTGATAAAAGTCTGCAGCTGGCTGCTGGAAATGCTTCTCGTGACACGTTATTAAAGTCTCTGAACCATAGAGAACCACTGAATAACTTGACATTAGTGTTGAAAATTCGAATCGTGTTCTTCATGCAGAGTACATAAGCTTTCTGAACTGATTCCAGAGTTGTGAGTGTCTGTCTTGCCTTTATGGTGCTGGCTGACTCTGACATCCGCCGTCTGTAGTTGAAACGAAGCTGTTTAAATAGGTTAAAGTAGTGACCACCTTCAAATTTCTGCTGTTGATGGTCAATGGTGCTTATTGTTGCCGTTGTTGATAGTCGGTGGGTATCTCCGTTATCTCTGCCCCCTTTCTTCACTTGAAGTTATACTTTCATTAACTCTTCTGTCAACTTATTGATTTTCGCCTGTAGATCTTCGAGCCTGAGTGACATTAACCATTGTTCGTTCTCGAAGTCCAAAACTGTTTAGTCTTATTGTCATCCCGACATGTCCATTTCTTATCGTTGACCACGCTCTGTCGTATTATCCAGTCCATCACTTTGAGGAGTATCATCAGTGATAGTGGGTAGGCAGCCTTGTATTAATCTTGTCTTCACTTCAGCGGGTTCACAGAGATTTCCGTTGGGAATCACCTGTCTTATGGTGACTTTGTATTACTGTTGGCTGAATTTAACGAGGGTTTTGGGGCAATACATAGTGTAGGATCAGTTTCTAAATTTCTCCGTCATCAACTCTGTTGAATGCTTGTTCAAAGTCGATGGATTTCAGTTATTCACCAATTTACCAGCCAGTCCCTAGCCGAAAATCAGGGGAAAGGTTGAGCGTGTGGCTAGTGACTCTACTCCAGGAAATCAACTCAATCTCTAAAGAAAACTTATGGCACAAATATGATAAGAAGTCTTCTGTGCTAGTTCTAGAAACTCTAGATATAAATACAGCCATTTTTCATCTGTAAATATGTTAAAAAGATTCGCGAAATGTGTATAACTCAATGTCTCTTATACACCAGTGCTTCAGTGTCCTTTGACTTTCCTTATTTTCAATGACCGGTGATCATGAGGTATTCTTCCGTAAAATTTGAAGAAAGCTCTAAATTTATGACTTTATTTCCACCGTTTTGTTAATTTCTTGTTTTTCAGTATTTTAGGTCGGATTACAACTTTCATTTTTGATTCTTCGTCAAACTAAAATGCTCATATTAGGGTAGAATTTGAGCACTGTGCCAAAATGTAATTTATTCGTAGAGCGGTTTTATTTGATAAAATCTAAAGGTGATGCGTTATTGCGTTTAGCTAAACACTGACCAAGTTTATGAAAGAAAAATTGGGTTTTTGAAATAATAGAGAAGATTTGTAGCCCAGGTGGATGGTTTTTAATCAGTTGTGTTCTTTTAGCAGGTCAGTTTAGTTGCGGAGATTACGATGCCGCCATCTGGACAATATAATCAGTGCATGTCCTAGGGTGAAATGAACTTATTTGAATTCTCCATGAATAGGTGATATAATTGTGTCTTCTGTCAACCAAATACATGACTGGTAGTTGATTTACATCAATATTGATCATAATTATAGACGTAAAATTTGAAATTTCTTGACAAATGTGAATTAAATTTTATTAGATTCCAAATATGGTCTATACCAGTATGTTGGTTAATGGCTTAATTATTTAGGTACCATAAAGTTTTAGAAATTCCCAGGCGACATTGCCGCCAGTTCCTGTATAAAAGATTTCGACATATCAATCAAATTAGTGTCCATAATTATCTGCATGCGTTGATATGAAACAGGAATATATATCATGTCTTTTTACAGCTCATTTGTGTTCTTGGATTCTGAGTCGAAGGGGATGCTCACTTTGACCGACGTGATGCTTATCGCCGTTCATACAACTTATTTTGTAAATGGTATTAATTTCATCTTCTTTTTCTGTTGGATGTGTAGCGGTAAATAATTTCCCAAAATTATTGATCACAGCAATCATCACTGAACATTGGATGCTGCCCACCACTGTTTAAGTCGACTTGTTTAGCTGAAGGCTTTCGGTCAAGCATCCCCACCATTTGGTACTCCGTCGTGTCACGTTCGCGCACAGTACTGGGTATATTAACGCAAGCTCTTATATCGACAGCTTCCAATGTATTTCAATCTCGCATACCAAAGGCAAAGCAAAAGACAGTGTTTGATTGTCCAAAATACGCGATATATTTCGGGACCAAAACGAGTTGTTAGACGAACGCTTAGCTGGCTAGTGATCGTGCCGCACGTGACACGATGGAGTACCAAACAGAGGGGATGCTTGACCGAAAGCCTTCAGCTAAACAAGTCGACTTAAACAATGGTGGTCAGCATCCAATGTTCAGTGACGATTGCTGTGGTCAATAATTTTGGGGAATTATTTACCGCTACAGCTCACTCCTCCCCAGTGGAGTTGTGGGGACCCTAGGACAGAACCAGCCGGAAGTGAAAAATACTTGATGGTTCCCTTCGGGGTGAAAAAATCTTCCGAGCGGCTTGGTGGCGTGCCTTCTACTAGCTCGGCGCTAGTACAACCAGCATCGGTTTTCAAGGCGTTTCGTATCCCTAGGAGAACTAACGGAAGGGATTCAGTTCAATAAGTGTTGTTTGCAGCTGACAAACCAGCTTTCAACTGTCTGTGTAGACGTTCTACCATGACATTAGCTTGAGAATGGTATGCTGTTGTTCGAAAACGCATGCAACCTATGATTTTAGTCAGGGCGAAGAATAAGCCACTTTCGAATTGCCGCCCGCGATCAGCTGTTATGCAGGATGAGCATCCAAAGTTAGCGATCCATCTTTCTACGAAGACGCGTGCGACTGTTTCAGCAGATACGTCCTTGATGGGTACTGCTTCCGGCCATCGTGTGAATCGATCAATGCAAGTTAAAATATAGGTATATCTATGAGATTCAGGAAGGGGTCCAACTAAATCTATATGGACGTGTTCGAAACGAGCGTCAGGGAGAAGAAAGGTGCCAAGTGTGCTTTTGGTGTGTCTCATTACCTTGCACTTTTGGTAAGCTAAGCACGTACGCGCCCATTCCCTTACTTCTTTATTAATGCCAGGCCAACAAAACCGACTAGTTACGAGCTTGACAGTAGTTCGAATACCCGGGCGAGATTTAAGATTTCGACATATCAATCAAATTAGTGTCCATAATTATCTGCATGCGTTGATATGAAACAGGAATATATATCATGTCTTTTTACAGCTCATTTGTGTTCTTGGATTCTGAGTCGAAGGGGATGCTCACTTTGACCGACGTGATGCTTATCGCCGTTCATACAACTTATTTTGTAAATGGTATTAATTTCATCTTCTTTTTCTGTTGGATGTGTAGCGGTAAATAATTTCCCAAAATTATTGATCACAGCAATCATCACTGAACATTGGATGCTGCCCACCACTGTTTAAGTCGACTTGTTTAGCTGAAGGCTTTCGGTCAAGCATCCCCACCATTTGGTACTCCGTCGTGTCACGTTCGCGCACAGTACTGGGTATATTAACGCAAGCTCTTATATCGACAGCTTCCAATGTATTTCAATCTCGCGTACCAAAGGCAAAGCAAAAGACAGTGTTTGATTGTCCAAAATACGCGATATATTTCGGGACCAAAACGGG